GAATCAAGCTCAGAGGTGCTGAGAGCAACAAAATCACCTAAAGTCTGTACAGTAATGAGATGAAAAATGAGCAGTTTGTGCTAAAACACTGAAGTATGTTTGGCATCTTCAAAGATGCACCACAGTGTGTTTAATATTTTACTAGGAGCTGCTGCTTTATCCTGCTTTACTTTAATCTTTCATGTCCATTAATTAAACTTACCTGTTAGGACACAAACCATAATGATGGGAAATGCAGCTGTCAGAGTGTTGAAGATAACATTCCCCCATGTAACTGCAAAATGAAAACAAGTTATTTTTTAAATAAAATAAAAATTGGATTTATGATTATATGTTAAATTCAACCCATAATACATCATGACAGCGACCCTTAATTATAGGATAATTATTGAACAATGTCAAACTATTAATGACAAATTAAACTAAAATTAATCATATCTGATCATGAGCTGTTAGATGATCATTTTATTCATTAGCAGCAGAAGACATCCTTATTAAAAGTAAAAGCCTCTGTGACCCACATTTCAGTATAAGAGCTGGACAGTGCACTGTTACAACCCTGATGCCAACAGAAACTGGGATGCAGGAGAACCAGCAATCATATGGAAACTCCTCATGGAAAAGGTACTGATGGATTGTATTAAAATGTAGTAAAAAGTTTTGCACATTTTGTAAACTACAGAAATTTGGACAAATAGACAAATATTCATTCCTAAATTCTTCTGTTGCTGTGAAAACACATCTAGTGATGCTCCTGCACTCATCCTCAGTGATGTTCCTAGAATCATAGGGTGTTTCGGGTTTTTCAACATCATACACCCTCCTCCAGGCGAGCTGGCTGGGACTGATCAGACCGCAGCTTGTGTCCAGGTGGCTAATTGACTTGTATGACACAGTCTTGACTCGGCTTGCAAAACAGCTTCCTCCACCCTCCACCATTCTGTCCCACCTTCCTGCCAGTCCTCACCATTATGCCAGCTCTGGCCAACTTCAGATCACTTGACCCTCTGTACTGCAACACTCCCCTGGCTCTGTGATCTTGAACTCCTCCTACATGGAGTCACAGTTTGTTTGATGACCATAGAGAGCCATGCTGCTCAGGCTCCTTGGGATGTGTAGCCATCTCCAGAGGTGGCTGCTGACCTTCCTCTCCAAGGTCTCTACTGCCGAGATTGGCACTTCGTAAACCAGGAGTGGCCACAGGACTCTTTTAGGAATACTATGCTGGTACAGCCATGCTTTAAATTACCCCAGTAGGCCAGACCGGTCCACTGATCTCAGCCAGCCATCCATGTGCAGGCTGACTTGATGGCTGTTGTGTCCTTCAGGATGCTGCCAAACGTTTTGCCTCCTAACAGGCTTCCCTGTGATGGTTGGGATGGTAGTACCTGTGATACTGAACCGGAATTTGTCATCCACCTTCCCTCTCCTCAGCACCACTGACCTAGATTTGGTGGTTTGAACTCCATCTGCACCCACCCCATCAGCTGTTCAGGCCCCTGAAGGATCTAGCGGCATCCTGGGACTGACTCTATGGTGACTGTTATGTCATCCATAAATGCTCTGATGGGTGGCTGACGTTGGGCAGTTTCTGTTTTAGACTCTCTGTACTCTAGTTCAGCAGATTTTGTGAGCATGTTCAAGGCAACAGAGAACAGGATCACAGAGATAATGCAGCCTGTGATGATCTTGTTCTCAGCCTTATTCAAGCCTGATATAACAGCTCCTGTGGAGGCTCTCACCCTGACACTGCTGCTGTAATCTGCAATGAGATCTCTGACTCAAAGGCAGCTGCACCAGCTTGTGTGGAATTGAACCTTATGTATTTTCCAGGTCGGGCCACAGGACTGACAGATTGCCTTTGTTCTCCCAGCCTCCCTGATCAGCTGTGTCACCACAAGTGATGCATAGATCGGCTCTGACTCCATCCGAATCTGTACATGTACACATAAATCATCCACCCGCCACCCACCTGAATGAAGTATTTTCTCTGATTCAGAAGAATCACACATTACCAGTATTTCTCAGTGTGATACATGTAAGCATGATGATCTGGTAACATCCATCCATCCATCCATTTACTTCCACTTATCCGAGGTCGGGTCGCGGGGGCAGCAGTCTCAGCAGGGAAACCCAGACTTCTCTCTCCCCGGCCACTTCCTCCAGCTCCTCTTGGGGGATCCCGAGGCGTTCCCAGGCCAGCCAAGAGACATAGTCCCTCCAGCGTGTCCTGGGTCTTCCCTGGGGCCTCCTCCCAATAGGACATGCCCAGAACACCTCACCAGGGAGGCGTCCAGGAGGCATCCTAAGCAGATGCCCAAGCCACCTCATCTGGCTCCTCTCAATGCGGAGGAGCAGCGGCTCTACTCTGAGTCTCTCCTGA